AAGCCACTCCTGCGTTGTCTTGGCTGTGTGCTTAGGGACATTGTCCTGTTGGATGGTGAACCTTTGCCCCAGTCTGAGGTCCGTAGCACTCTGGAGCAGGTTTTCATCAAGGATCTCTCTGTACTTTGCTCTGTTCATCTTTGCCTCGATCCTGATTAGTCTCCCAGTCCCTGCCGCTGAAAAACATCCCCACAGCATGATGCATGGTGCTGCCACCACCATGCTTCACCGTAGAGATGGTGCCAGATTTCCTATAGATGTGACGCTTGGCATTCAGGCCAAAGAGTTCAATCTTGGTTTCATCAGACCAGAGAATCTTGTTTCTCATGGTCTGAAAGTCTTTAGGTGCCTTTTGGCAAACTCCAAGTGGGCTGTCATGTGCCTTTTACTGAAGAGTGGCTTCCGTCTGGCCACTCTACCATAAAGGCCTGATTGGTGTAGTGCTGCAGAGATGGTTGTCCTTCTGGAAGGTTCTCCCATCTCCACAGAGGAACTCTGGAGCTCTGTCAGAGTAACCATCGGGTTCTTGGTCAACTCCCTGACCAAGGCCCTTCTCCCCGATTGCTCAGTTTGGCAGGGTGGCCAGCTCTAGGAAGAGTCTTGGTGGTTCCAAACTTCTTCCATTTAAGAATGTTGGAGGCCACTGTGTTCTTGGGGACCTTCAATGCTGCAGAAAATATTTTGTACCCTTCCTCAGATCTGTGCCTCTACACAATCCTGTCTCTGAGTTCTACGGACAAACCCTTCAACCTCATGGCCTGGTTTTTGCCCTGACATGCACTGTTAACTGCGGGACCTTATATAGACAGGTGTGTGCCTTTCCAAATCATGTCAAATCATTTGAATTTACTACAGGTGGATTCTAATCAAGTTGTAGAAACATCTGAAGGATGATCAATGGAAACAGGATGCACCTGAGCTCAATTTCGAGTTTCATAGTAAAAGGGTCTGAATACTTATGTAAATAAGCTATTTCTGTTTTGTATTGTTTATAAATTTGCAAAAATGTCTAAAAACCTGTTTTCAATTTGTCATCATGGGGTATTGTGTGTTGATTGATGATGAAAAAAAATTACGTAACAAAACATGGAAAAGGTCAAGGGTTCTGAATACTTTCCCAGTGCACTGTATATGGAAGAATCCACATTTAAAACCGGTGACCAATCGATTGGTTGAAAGAACAGAAGACGCTTGGTCGACCAAGATTATTTTTTGTCGGGGACATCCCTAAAATGCTTTGCTAGATTCTTTAATCCACTGTTTCACAAGATGGCAGCCTGGTTTGCTAGTTCTTAGGAGTCCCTAAAACATTAAACAACACAAATTACGACAACATGACACAACAATGCCTCTTCCCCCTCAGGAGGCTGAAAAGATTTGGCATGGGCCCTCAGATCCCCAAAAAGTTCTACAGCTGCACCATTGAAAGCGTCTTGATTGGCTGCATCACCACTTGGTATGGCAACTGTTTGGCATCCGACCGCAAGGCGCTACAGAGGGTAGTGCGTATGGCCCAGTACATCATTGGGGCCGAACTCCCTGCCATCCAGGACCTCTATACCAGGTGGTCAGAGGAAGGCCCTAAAAACTGTCAAAGACTCCAGCCACCCAAGTCATAGACCTTCTCTCTGCTACCGCACAGCAAGCGGTACCGATGCACCTAGTCTGGAACCAACAAGACCCTGAATAGCTTCTACCCACAAGCCATAAGACTGCTAAATAGTTAGTCCAGGTAGCTATTGGTTAACTATTTAACTATCTGCATTGACCCTTTTTGCACTAACTCTTTTGACTCATCACATATGTAACTGTTATATGTAACTGTTATCTATCCTGTTGCCTAGTCACTTAATCACTAACTATATATACATATCTACCTCAATTACCTCGTACCCCTGCACATCGACTCGGTACCCTGTGTATATAGTCACGTTATCGTTACTCATTGCGTATTTATTCCTTGTGTTATTATTTTTTCTATTATTTCTATATGTTTCTCTCTGCATTGTTGGGAAAGGCCCTTAAGTAAGCATTTCACTGTTAGTCTATATCTGTATTTTATTTTATTACAATTTCATACACATGTCAAAACGCCCATAAAGCTAGATAGCTGGCTAATGTTAGCTAGTCAGCTAGCTTGCTAAATAGCAATTTTAATAAATTAACTTTACATTAACTAACATGTTCCTCTCAACTGTAAATGTTTTGCATGATTCATTATGACATTAAAATTATTTACATTTGCTTCCATCCCAGCATTGGGTTGCAGAGCGTCAAATCCTTCAAGGAAATCGCTCGATATGATTGGTTATCGTCCCGCATTCGCCGCTGGTGAGTTGGGGATTTCTTACCCATGCCACGTTCGCAGCGCGCAACGGTCCCGCCCACTCCGTATCGCACTGATTTCCTTCCAACAGAGAGGAAGAGGAAGAGAGAGGCCCAACTGCGGAAAATCTGTCTCCCTCCAGCAGGTGGTGTTTTTTCGTTGTTTCGCCCACCAAGCAATGAGTTTTTGTATGGCGGTCAACGAGAGAGTTTCGAATTTGGTCAACAAAAAAATGAATGTCTTATTTTCTACGAGAGGTTTATTTGATCGAATATAAGTTTCGTAATGCTTAAGTTATTATGAGTGTATTGATATAAATAGGACACGTGACATACTGGCAACTTTGAGAAAAATCATTTTATATCGGAGTTGTCTCGAGATGGCTATGCATATTCATGTCTGTGGCTAGTAGCATAGCATCTCTCTCCTTTGAATACAGGCGGTTGACGTCAAAAACCCTCATCGCATATTCAAAAATATATGACAATAATGAGATGTACGCACCAATTCAAAGAAAGCATAGACGGGAGCTAGACAGCCCGCCGTTACGCTTTATGGACAACGACTCCCATTGTTAGGGCGGAGAGACATGCATCTTGTCAGTATATCCATAATCTTAGCCCGTTGAAAATTAATAGGAAGCGTTGTTTCAACGCGCGGTGCCGCCCCCTAATGTACATATGCCGTAAGTGTGGTTGATTATTAATTGTGATTAATGTAAAACTGTTATAGATTGTAATTACACATTTGTACCCAATGTGTTACAGCTGTATGTCACATTATGTAACACTGTGATTCGCTGTACCTGACTATGTAATGAGGGGCGGCAGGTAGCTTAGTGGTTAAGAGCGTTGTGCCAGTAACCGAAAGGTCGCTGGTTCTAATCCCCGAGCCGACTAGGTGAAAAATCTGTCGATGTGCCCTTGAGCAAGGCGCTTAACCCTAATTGCTCCTGTAAGTCGCTCTGGATAAGAGCGTCTGCTAAATGACTAAAATGTAATGACAATACTGTATTTGGATCTCTTCACAACATGCAAGCCGTTGTTAAAATGAATTCAGACAATGTTGATATTATATTGTTATTCAACAGAGATAGTATAAGAACATTCATGTGAGTTTCAATAACAAAGGAATAATTGTACTCTTCTTGTTATGACCAATCAGCTGTTTCTAGGAAATAACGGGCGTGCACATTCAGCCAATGGGCGTTTGATCAACAAACCAAACCAGGCCCTTTTAGTATCGTCAAGAACCCACCAATCACGATTATAGATTATCTTTACTGACGTTTTTATTCACCAATACATGACCGTGTTTGTAAGTATTCCTTCCCACCCCTTCAGTGAACGCTAGAGAGTTACTTGATGGCGACAGGTTTGGTAAGTTAACAGATTTCTAAGAAACAAAACTCTAACTAATCTTGAGAAATAAGCAATGTAATTTTCTTTATCCAGCTCTTATAGTTTGGTGGAGTGGAACAGTTGTCATTCGACCGTTCGATGTCGATTGACAACTTATTGTAAACAGATTTTGTTCATTGTTATGTTTGTGGTTTTGGTTGTAATTAGCTTGCTAGGCTAGCAGCTTGCTAGCTATTCATCAAGATATTGACAAAGACAGCCTGCTTTCAAAGTAGTTAAACAATGTTTCGGTAAAAACAGACTGAATGTAAACTTTTCGGTTCATTCACTTGACAATCTCGAACACTGAGCGCTGTCGTGTCTGAACTTGTTGACATTCTTTTGTTTACAAGTGAGCTTGGTTATTTTCTAGCTGTCAGTCAAGGAAGCCTATTCCCTTGTGACAGCACTCAACAAAATAACAGATTGAATTATAGAAAAAAGTAGTTGGACAGTTAGCTATAGGCTATGTCAACTTTTCAATGTCATTCTATGTTTTAGCTAGTTTTCCAAGAATCAAAATGTAAATAAATAAATTGCGCAAGATTAGTTGTCGATTATCTAGAAAGCCATTCATAGACTAGATATAGTCGTAACGTTACAAATTGGCTACAATTTAAGTTTCAAAGATAACGTAAAAAATTGGCTACATTTCATTTAGCCACAGCTATGAAGCAGAAAGCTTGTTATTGTCTTCAGCTGATCTTTTATAATGTAGCCTACATTGCTCAGACTAGGTGGCATGACACGTTGATATTTCTCAATTCCAGTTTAGATCTCGTTTATCAATGAAATAATATAGCTTCTTTCTCTCGATATTTTGTGAATTTTTGTATGATCATAACAGAGTTATTGACCAATGCTTGTTACGCAGTTATGAATGAATGAGCTCTGGTGCGCATGCGCGAAGTTCCCAAAGTGTATAAACAAGGGCTGCACGCATATGGTCACATGGCTGTTCTTTATCTAGTCCACACAGACAAAGGACTTTGTTATAGGGAGGCTTTTTATCCCCTATGTAATTACCTGACATTTTGATTAAATTTATTACGATTGTAGAATAATGCAGTCATCTATGCTTTTTTAACCAGTGCTTTTTGTTTTTATTATTCACCTATTAATATTCAATGCAAACATAAATTACATAGGCCTAGCGTTTAACTATAAAAAAGCCAAATAATTTAAAGCATATTCATTTATCATTTTATTTTTTGTATATTTTATACATACCTGTTGTGGTCAGATGCTGAAAATGTAATTTATCATTGTCTCCAGTGTCTGTCTACAGACATGCCAGCTGACATGGCGTAATATGTTGTGGGAAGTTAATAAGACTGAAGGAGTAGAGGAAAACAAAATGGATGCTAATAGAATGGAACACTCCTTTGATCTTCTGAAATGCAATGAGGCTCTGTTCTCCTCACCTGGCTGCCCCCCTACTCCTATGGAGTATGGTAAATATATGCTATTATGTAATAGGTCTACATAACACACACACACAGGTATAAGACTGCAATGTAAAGTGTTACCATAAAGGACAGGAAACTATATTTTCTATGTAATTCTATTCTATTCTGAACGCTTATAAGCACAGCCCTGACCAACCTCACTCCTCTCCTGCTCCAGATGACCTGCCAGAGCTGCAGGAGGTAGAGGAGAACCAGTCCTCTCCAGTGCTGTTCCGTGTGGGAGCTGGGGTGTCACATCGGGAGTGTATAGCTGGTTCCCCTCACACCAACTGGCTGACTGAGCTGGCTAACATTGCCACCAGCCCTCAGAGCCCCCTACTGCAGGAGCCTGCTCCCATCAAGAGGTACCTGTTGTGTTTAGAGGTTGACAATGCACATGCACACTTATTTACTGTAGCACGCACACACACACACACACACACACACACACACACACACACACACACACACACACACACACACACACACACACACACACACACACACACACACACACACACACACACACACACACACACACTGACTGACAGAGCCACACATCAACAAAGCATTAGGTTGATGTTTGATTGATATGTTGATATTGATATGTATATTAGTATTTATCCTTATCAGGTTGTCTCCTGGACGGGCCAAGTGATGGTGTTAGATTGTTAATGTGTTGATCATTAATATGTATTTCTCTCATCAGGTCGTCTCCTGTGCACATCTTTGCCACCAGTCGTAGTTTACATTCCTACGCCCGACCGCCCCTAGCCAGCAGTGCACCCAGCCCCTCTAGGGGTCACCTTAGGGAGCGCAGCAGACGTGTCAGAGTACGACCTTTCACCTTTTACCTTTCAGTTCAACCGTTTCCTGTGTGTGGACCCTATCACCCTCTCCACTCCTATACTGAATGAATAAAATGTTTTTGTACGCGTCACCTCACCTAGACTATCTACTACAAGATTATGTATGATCATTGTTGTGGTCAATTACATTTGAGTTTAGTCAATTCAGGAAGTAAACTGAAATCCTTCACTAAAATTCAAATTTTCCCTCAATGGATTGGAAATTCATTGAGGAATTTCCTTAATGGACTGAATTGAAGTGGCATTGGCCAGCTCTGATGGGCATGCTTCATTCAGCGCAATGTAACTGTTCTATAACATTGCGACAACACTGCAATTTATAACGTGCTGTTTTGTAATATGTTTCTCTTTGTTTGAACGTCCCCCATTCAGGCCAGCAGTGAGTCAGAGTCTGGTGTGTTCTCTATGTCATCCTTCTCTGATGATGAAGACATGGGTTGGTCTAACTCCTGGCCCTCAACAGCCTGGCACTGCTTCCTGAAAGGTATGGACGCACGCACGCACGCGCACACACAGACACACACACACAGAGAGAAAGAGAGAGAGAAATGGAAAAGCTTTTCCTAGAATTTTGGCCTTGAGTGCTTTTACCTTTTACTTGTGGAAAAAGCCTAGTTAACACATTGATAACAAGTGGCTGTGCAGTCTGGAGTCAGGACTGTATCAGGCAACAGATCCCAGATCCTGTGGCATGGCATGGATGAAAGAGAACTTCCTCCAGTTGATCAGTAGCAAGATTGAGGCTATGCTTATTGGGACACCCAAGCAGGTCATCTGCCCTCCAATCAACGGCTAGGTCGTCCACCTGTCCACTGTCATCTCCAACCTAGGAGTCAAGTTTGAGTATGTAAAACATACTTTTTCCATCTTAAAAACATTGTCTGGGTCATACCATCACTATCCCAGCCAGATGCAGAGAATCTCATCCATGCCTTCATCTTCTCTCGGATCGACTACGGCAATGTGCTCTTTGGGGGCCTCCCAGCAATCAATCACTCACTCACTCACTCACTCACTCACTCACTCACTCACTCACTCACTCACTCACTCACTCACTCACTCACTCACTCACTCACTCACTCACTCACTCACTCACTCACTCACTCACTCACTCACTCACTCACTCACTCACTCACTCACATGTTTTGCTGTTAATCAGGCACCCGGCTGCGGTTCCACGGGGGTTCTAACAAGGAGTGGCAAGAGGCTGAGGACCTGGAAGACTCTGATGACGAGTCAGATGATGACAGAATAATGCCATCCACCTCCAGAAAGGTAGCAAAATGTTTTACAGCGAAAAATGACAAAAAGTCCACCTAGTCCCTCCCTGTTTGTTTGTTTTCTTCCGTTTGATGCCTTATGAACATGCCCTTGATAATCGTCAGAGCTGATATGATTGGGTATCCTCCCTCTCACATTTTTCTCTCTGGATGTTGATTGATTTACAGAGCTACGGTTCGGAAGGTCTGAAGCTAGTGGCCCATGAGGAGAACGTGTCGTACAGCCAGGCTGTCCTCAAACTCACCTTTGACCCCGGCTCGCCAGAAGATGGCCTCTTAACGGCAGAGTGCAGATTTCATCACCCCTTTTTTGTGAAAAACAAAGGTAAAAGAACGAAATGTCTTTGAATTGTTAACAAGATAACTGAATCAGTTAAGGGAACATGACGAACTGGAACTGCATGCAAATGATAAAGGCAGGCGCTATTGGTCTGATCTCCAGAAGTTGTAGCTATCATCAGATTGATTAAGCAAATGTTCAGCACTTAATGTTCCATGGAAGCGGATAGGCCTATTTGTGGACTAATCTTTGAGACTGCATGGTGATAGGGCATGCCTTGTAGTACAGGCCAGATTCACATCTTGGACAGGTTCACATCTTTGTTTGTGTATCTTTTAAAATGTTTACATCTCCATATCTCTTCCTGTCACAGGCTGGTCCTCGTTCTATCCCAGCCTGACGGTGGTGCAGCACGGTATCCCCTGCTATGAGATGCAGGTGGGGGACCTATGTCTTCCTCCAGGCCACAGAGATGCCATAAACTGTGACGACTCTGTTGTCTTCGACACCTTCAGGAGGTACAGAATAATACCAATGTTAAACAACAAAAAAACGTATGCACACTCATATATGCTCCCGGGGGCTTAGTTTATTCAGACAATATCAATGCCTCCGTATGACTCTGTAGATAAGATTTATGGTGAAATGATATAAATTGTATCTACAATCTCCTCTCTCTATATATATCCCTCTCCAGTTATGACTTCACCCCTCTGGACTCGTCAGCTGTGTATGTTCTGAGCAGCATGGCCAGGCAGCGTAGGACCTCCCAGTCCAGCGGTGGCGCTGTCTCCCCCGACCCAGAGAAACTCTCTAGTTCCTCCCACCCCTCCTCCGCCAGCAAATCAAACAGGAGCAATACCTCAGGGACAGCCCCTGGCGGGGCCACGCCCACCAAATGCAAGCGGCCAATGAACGCCTTCATGCTCTTCGCTAAGAAGTACAGGTTGGAGTACACACAGATGTACCCTGGGAAGGATAACAGGTGGGTAGGAAGACCAAAACGTGTTTGTGTGTGTGCTTGCGTGTGGGTGTGTGCATTAGTGGGACAGTCCTGTTCTGACAAACTGTTTACAAAATGAAAGGATCTCTATGTTAGGAATGTCTCTGAGTAGGCTATTGCTTTAGACCAGGGCCACAGGTAGGATTACAGTAGTGGAGAAAAGACTGTTGTCTCACAGTAATTGATAAAGTTCCACACACATGAGTGAAAGTATACAGTGGGGAAAAAAAGTATTTAGTCAGCCACCAATTGTGCAAGTTCTCCCACTTAAAAAGATGAGAGAGGCCTGTAATTTTCATCATAGGTACACGTCAACTATGACAGACAAAATGAGAAAAAAAAATCCTGAAAATCTCATTGTAGGATTTTTAATGAATTTATTTGCAAATTATGGTGGAAAATAAGGATTTGGTCAATAACAAAAGTTTCTCAAAACTTTGTTATATACCCTTTGTTGGCAATGACACAGGTCAAACGTTTTCTGTAAGTCTTCACAAGGTTTTCACACACTGTTGCTGGTATTTTGGCCCATTCCTCCATGCAGATCTCCTCTAGAGCAGTGATGTTTTGGGGCTGTCGCTGGGCAACACAGACTTTCAACTCCCTCCAAAGATTTTCTATAGGGTTGAGATCTGGAGACTGGCTAGGCTACTCCAGGACCTTGAAATGCTTCTTACGAAGCCACTCCTTCATTGCCCGGGCGGTGTGTTTGGGATCATTGTCGTGCTGAAAGACCCAGCCACGTTTCATCTTCAATGCCCTTGCTGATGGAAGGAGGTTTTCACTCAAAATATCACGATACATGGCCCCATTCATTCTTTCCTTTACACGGATCAGTCGTCCTGGTCCCTTTGCAGAAAAACAGCCCCAAAGCATGATGTTTCCACCCCATGCTTCACAGTAGGTATGGTGTTCTTTGGATGCAACTCAGCATTCTTTGTCCTCCAAACACGACGAGTTGAGTTTTTACCAAAAAGTTCTATTTTGGTTTAATCTGACCATATGACATTCTCCCAATCCTCTTCTGGATCATCCAAATGCACTCTAGCAAACTTCAGACGGGCCTGGACATGTACTGGCTTAAGCAGGGGGACACGTCTGGCACTGCAGGATTTGAGTCCCTGGCGGCGTAGTGTGTTACTGATGGTAGGCTTTGTTACTTTGGTCCCAGCTCTCTGCAGGTCATTCACTAGGTCCCCCCGTGTGGTTCTGGGATTTTTGCTCACCGTTCTTGTGATCATTTTGACCCCACGGGGTGAGATCTTGCGTGGAGCCCCAGATCGAGGGAGATTATCAGTGGTCTTGTATGTCTTCCATTTCCTAATAATTGCTCCCACAGTTGATTTCTTCAAGCCAAGCTGCTTACCTATTGCAGATTCAGTCTTCCCAGCCTGGTGCAGGTCTACAATTTTGTTTCTGGTGTCCTTTGACAGCTCTTTGGTCTTGGCCATAGTGGAGTTTGGAGTGTGACTGTTTGAGGTTGTGGACAGGTGTCTTTTATACTGATAACAAGTTCAAACAGGTGCCATTAATACAGGTAACGAGTGGAGGACAGAGGAGCCTCTTAAAGAAGAAGTTACAGGTCTGTGAGAGCCAGAAATCTTGCTTGTTTGTAGGTGACCAAATACTTATTTTCCACCATAATTTGCAAATAAATTCATTAAAAATCCTACAATGTGATTTTCTGGAAAGAAAATTCTCAATTTGTCTGTCATAGTTGACGTGTACCTATGATGAAAATTACAGGCCTCTCTCATCTTTTTAAGTAGGAGAACTTGCACAATTGGTGACTGACTAAAAACTTTTTTCCCCACTGTACAATAACAAATGAATGAATGAGTGACTGAATGAATGAATGAATTACGGTATAAATGATAGTATGTCCTTGTGTCCCTATACAGAGCCATCAGTGTGATCCTGGGTGATAAGTGGAAGAAGATGAAGAGCGAGGAGAGGAGGATGTACACTGTGGAGGCCAAAGCTCTGGCTGACGAGCAGAAGAGACTCAACCCTGACTGCTGGAAACGCAAGAGAACCAACTCAGTAAGTTGATCACAGTGACCACGTTTACATGCAGACCAATATCCCGTTATTATTCGGGATACTCAAGTATTCTGTTTTCGAATTGACACACAAACATCATATCCCATTTACAATAACCTGAAAAGCTTGTATCCTGGCTATGGGAAACCCAGATCAGATGTCTGGGATATGCTGATCTTAGACTGGATACTGTGGCATGTAAACATCTTATCCCGTTTACTGTTGTTTTTCGCGGTCTGCGCAGGCTCAATTTCGCATATCATGGGTGTTGTGTGATGATGTTTTCATCTGATTGTCAAACAAATCACTTCAAAAAGTAGGCTACCTGCGGAGTTCGATCCACCATAATTCCATAATAATTACTTTTGCTGATATTCTGTGCTGGACCGTATAGCCTGGCTACTTTCACCTCTAATTTAGACAACTTTCTGCTTATAATTTCCAACATTTGGTAGGCCATATTATAATTTCCGACATTTGGTAGGGCATTTGTTTGTCAACTACAGTATAGTTAGATACATGCAGCTTCTCTTCTGTCATAACTTGTTGCCCCAGAAGACTAAATAAAGTAGTGCTCAGCAGAATAATGTCCTACGTTGATAGAATGAATGTATTGGTAATCTAATTAACACCGGTAAAGTTGTCTGTTTCATTTAGGGACCGGGGAGAAAACACAAAAACTCCAAAACAGTGGAAAGATTGGTCCTGTGCAAAATGTCCAAATATCATCAGTTTGACCGGTTTTAAGGAAATTAAAATCTGTGAAAATGATGAAACACATTTCAGTTCGTCTCAGGTGCGTATTTGATGCGGTTGAAATACTGTCTGCTTGCATAACAGTGTCAAAGATAATATTACACGCGCATTCACATTTTCTCAAGAGATGCGGAAAGAAAGAAATCATATTTCTCCACTCCTCTTCCCGAGACAAAATTAACATTTGTTGTATAATTTTACTGCAAGAAATGCATAATTCTGTAGGAGTTATGAGCTATTATCCGGAATACTGTGCGCATCATGTAAATGGGGTCACTGATCATAAAGAACTCAGTAAGGTGTAATAGGTATGATGCTGATCTTATTTCCAAGGCCCAGTTTCTCTGGTTTAAACCCAACTCTGTAAAGACTGTTATTATAGGCATGATCATAAAGTTCCAATTGAAATCATCCAGGTATATAGTTTACCAGGCAACTGCGCCAAATCCAGGGCTTAGCTAAAACAAATAGTGATAATGTAAGGTCACAGAGTTATAAAACCTATAGGACGCACTGCTACAAATGTCACTGCAGCCTATCAATGGAAAGATAGGAGGTGCACACTCTAGGTATTATAAAGCTGTGTGTAAGTTCTGAGCATGCTTTAAAGGCCCAGTGCACTCAAAATTCTGTTTTTCCTGTGTTTTGTATAATATTTAACAGCTGATTAAACAAACACTGATATTGACATAAAAACGGCTGCATATGACCTTTACCCTCCACCTCTCTCTTCCTCTCTCCTCAGGGGTCCCAGCACCAATAGATGGCCTTTGACCTTCAGACACTGGTGTGTGTGGCGTGGAGAGGTCAGAGGTCAAAGGTGAACTGACCGACCAGGCGACCCCACTATCTCTCTAGCCTGGTTCCAGATCTGTTTGTGCTGTATAGCCAACTCCTATGGTCGTTGGACCATAAGACAGCACAAACAGACCTGGAACCAGGCTACTCTGTCTCTCTCTCTCTGCTCACCTGTCAAATTGATGAGACTTAACTGTGATGCTGAATACACTTGCTTTTATAACTTAGAGACCTTATAGATAGGCCTACAAACATTTTAAAGACAAAACGACAACTATGAACTATATATCAAAAAGCAGGTCATCTAATGTAACTAACCGTGCTTATATATTCTTACATCTTAAAATGACAAGAGATGCCTTGTTATTCCTCTATAAGAAAGGAAAGGCTCAGTTTTTATTTCTTCAGGTAATTTCATATTTCGAGGCGTGAAACCTTGAGATCAGGGTTGCAAAATTCCGGTAACTTTCCAAAGATTCCCTGGTTTTCCATAAATTCAGGTTGGAAGATTCCTGGAATCAGGAGGGTATAAGCAAGAAATCCAGAATCCTCCAACCAGGAATTCTGGAAAACTTGAGAATTTTGTTAGTTACCGGAAATTGACTACCCTACTTGAGACCCAGTGGTGCTAAGTTCGGTGAAGGAAGGAGGAGCAGTGATACAAAATGTATATTTTTTATTGTAAAAAGCTTTGGTAACACTTTATTTGAAGGGTCCATAATAAAACATTTATAAGGCATTTACAAACCGTTTGCTCATCATTTATTAATCATGCAGGAATGTCCACCAATGGCATGTCCATCTTTTTGTGAGAAATTACACTGGTCACTCAAAACATTTATAAAATATTTAAAGTATAAATAGCGCTCACTTTAGATTAAGGACTGCAAAAATACTTTACTAATTATTAGTAAATGGTTTATAAATGTGGGCGTAATGATTCATAAATGGTGAACACACAATTTATAAATGCCTTATTAAATGGTTTAATACGGAACCTTAAAATATAGTGTTTTTTCTCTTCTCAGCTGTTGTTCATATTGATTATATTTGTACAACTCAATATATTGCACAGATTGATAAAGCCTTTCATGCATTGTATCATACACTACATGCCCAGAAGTATGTGGACACCTGCTCGTCGAACATCTCATTCCAAAATCATGGGCATTAATATGGAGTTGGTCCCCCCTTTGCTGCTATAACAGCCTCCACTCTTCTGGGAATGCTTTTCACTAGATGTTGGAATATTGCTGCAGGGACTTGCTCCCATTCAGCCACAAGAGCTTTAGTTTGGCCGGGCACTGATGTTGGGCGATTAGGCCTGGCTCGCAGTCAGCGTTCCAATTCATCCCAAAGGTGTTTGATGGGCTTGAGGTCAGGGCTCTGTGCAGGCCAGTCAAGTTCTTCCACAACGATCTCGACAAACCATTTCTGTATGGACCTCGCTTTGTGCACGGGGGCATTGTCATGCTAAAACAGGAAAGGGCCTTCCCCAAATTGTTGCCACAAAGTTGGAAGTATAGAATCGTTTAGAATGTCAATGTATGCTGTAGCGTTAAGATTTCCCTTCATTGGAACTAAGGGGCCTACCCCAAGCCATGAAAAAAAGCCCCAGACCATTATTCCTCCTCCACCAAACTTTACAGTTGGCACTATGCATTCAGGTAGGTAGCGTTCTCCTGGCGTTCGCCAAACCCAGATTCGTCCATTGGACTGCCAGATGGTCAAGCGTGATTCATTACTCCGGTGAGCTTTACACCACTCCAGCCGACGATTGGCATTGCGCATAGTGATCTTAGGCATGTGTGCAGCTGCTCGGCCATGGAAAACCATTTCATGAAGCTCCCGACGAACAGTTATTGTGCTGACAATGCTTCCAGAGGCAGTTTAGAACTCAGTAGTGAGTGTTGCAACCGAGGACAGATGATATTTACGCGCTACGCGCTTTAGCACTTGGCGGTCCCGTTCTGTGAGCGTGTGTGGCCTACCACTTCGCGGCTGAGCTGTTGTTGCTCCTAGATGTTTCCACTTCACATTAACAGCACTTACAGTTGACCGGGGCAGCTCTAGCAGGGCATGCATTTGACAAACTGACTTGTTGGAAAGGTGGCATCCTATGACGGTGCCACGTTGAAAGTCACTGAGCTCTTCAGTAAGGCCATTCTACTGCCAATGTTTGTCTATGGAGATTGCATGGCTGTGTGCTCGCCTTTATACAACTGTCAGCAACGGGTGTGGCTGAAATAGCCGAATCCACTAATTTGAAGCGGTGTCCATATACTTTTGTATATATAGTGTATTAGCTGTGAGCTTCAGGGGCTATATAAAGTTTGTTATACATACTGCCCATCTGAGGCCAGATCTACCTTGGGTCGTGTTCATTAGGGAACCAAAACAGAATAAAACAGTCTGAAACAAGGAGGGACCTCCTGGACTTGTCCAATAAGGAACTTAAGGTTACTTCCGTAACCCTGGTTGTCTGGTAATATGAGTGAGATGTATCACATGGGGATTCGCTAGGATCACCAACATCATCAACCTCTCCCTCGCCCATGGAACTGTCCCTTCCAACTACAAAACAGCTGCACTCATCCTAAAGAAGACTGACTAGATTCCTCCATCCTCAACAACTATCACCCCATCTCCAACATCACCTTCCTCGCCAAAACCCCTTAAACAGACTGTTGCCTCCCAACTACAAACCCACCTCCTGAACAATAACGTATTTGAGCCCCTCCAGTCTTGTTTCCGACCCCTCCACAGTACTGAAACTGCCCTCCTCAAAGTCATCACCATCCTCCTAACCTCTTCTTATACTAATGCCCTCAACATCCTGATTCTCCTCGACCTGAGTGCCGCCTTTGGCACAGTGAGCCATCAAGTCCTGCTCACCAGTCTGGAGGGTCTCGGTGTTGAGGGCACCACACTCTCCTGGCTACAATCATACCTCACCAACCGGACCCACTACATCTCCCTCAATAGCCATACCTCTGACTCTGCTGCTGTCACACAGGGTGTCCCTCAGGGCTCTGTACTGGGTCCCTTACTCTTCACCATCTACATCCTCCTGCTTGGTCAGATCCTCTGCCACTTCAACCTCAACTTCCACTGCTACTCCAACGACACCCAAATCTACCTGACACCAATTCTCTCCTCGACCCACCTCTGACCCACATTGAATCCTGCCTCTCTGAAAAAAAAAATGGATGCAACACAACTTCCTAAAGCTAAACAGTGCAAAACCGGCTGCAGGCCACCTTGCCGTTCCCAAGTCCAAGCTCCAGAGCTTCGGCGACAGGGCCTTCTTTAGGGTTGATCCAAGGCTCTGGAACTCCCTCCCTCCAGCCATCTGTGACTCTGAGTCCATCACCATCTTTCTGTCCACTCCTAAAGCCCCATCTCTTCACCTTGGCCTACCCCTAAGCTCCCCCCACCCCCCACACACTCTCTCCCCCCCCCACACACACACGCACAACACCTGCTAGCTCACGCATACACTGACCCTCTTTTCCCTTCTTTAAGCCCTCTTCTCTTTGTTTCATATTTGTGTTTCTTTCTGCTGTTGTCTTGTTTTGATCAGTTTTTTTGTTTAGTTTTTACAATTTTAAAGCGACTTTGGGTCATTGAAAAGCGCTATATAAGTCCCATGTATTATTATTACATTTACATTTACGTTTTAGTCTACTCTCGGAAGGACCAATCAAAAGTGTATGTTGGTGACAGACAGGTAGAGTGGCGAATGAGGTGCGCCCCCTTAACTCCTTATAAGGAACCACTCTCCCGCCCTCTGGTCATTCTCAAGCATGCTTCTCTTCCTCACGCTCTTGCGAGCAGGGAAATGCTGTAATACATCTCACTGATATCAGAAAACCGGGGTACAAAATTGACCTTAAGTTATCTTTCAAATACTCATTTCAATGTATCACATACTGTATGGTGATATGGCCAACTCCCGAATCGCAAACATGCTCACCGAAGCCAGGGTTGTCCCAACATCAGCAACCCTCAGAGGCTCCGAAACTAAGGAAGTATGCAGCAAGAAGGTGCAGAAACAAGCTGTTGGGAAAACTTCATAACAAAGTGAGGGGAAGCCCAAAACATGGCGCACAAAATCTCAGTTTAATGAAATATGTCCCAAGAAACAGTGTCCAAGAGGTAAACTCCTCCATAAGAGAGGGCCCTTTCAAGCCCCTCCGAAGGCTGTCACCCTCGCCAATATAAATCACCATAATCCAAAGAGAGAAGAGCATTACACCCTTGCCTAAGCTCTCGTTCAATCCAAGTAGATGTGCAATGCGTGTACTGGACAACGACAGGGACGCCCTTCTGGGGAAGGGGACAGGCGAAAAAGTGCGACAATAAGAAACCGGGGCCAAAGGATGGGGTTAGGTATGCGGTTAGCCTGAAAAACCCTAGGGCAGAATGCAGGTGCGAACAGTGGCTGGTAGAGCACAGTCCACACACTCACTTTAGGGAAGCCAAGGGCAGTAGTAAAGCGAAAGATGGAGGAATATTACATCTCCACGCTTCTCAGCGGCTAGTAGCTGCTGTGAAAGAATCTTAAGCACGATAGACATGTCCCAGGTTGAGTAACCTCGTCCCCAGGCTATTGCGCACAACGCATATAAGCCTGGGATATCAACGATTCAAAGTTGGCCTTAGTAGGAGTGACCATAGAATTCTATAGGAGTGACCTACTGAGTAAAGTATTTGTCATCATTTAATTTTGGAGAATCACATGACTGCGAGGTGTGGGGAGGGTTAAGGGGAAGGTGTTGTAGGTAACGATTGGTTGGTAGATTAAGCCGATTAAGCCAATGCCTATGCACTGGGAGTTTCTCCTGTTCTTTCTGTATAGGCTAACGAAGGCCAACAAGTTTGTCGCGTTGGTCCATCAGACCCTTTGCGCATTTGGGCGGAAGTGTCTGGGAACGAGATTACAGGACGAGAGTGTGCATAAGGGGGCTGGCACTCTTTTTCAAGAGTCGCAGACCTGTCTTCCTTTCCTTTTATTTTTGTATTTATCACCGGCTGTGCCCTCGAGAGAGTAGAGAATTGCTTTGTTCGCAAGGGTATAAACCCTGCATGCCAATAGCTGCCAGGACTGGTCGTGAGTAGGGTATAACTGCTGACCGGAAAGTCACTGGCCATCGAGGGGCTCGAAGATGAGGGGGAGGCCCTATTGCCTTGCTCTGTGTAGACGGGAAAGGGAGGGTAGGCAACATAGGAGGAAAAGCCTACGGCATCACCCTATTTCATGGGTTTGTCAGCTCTCCCACCCCAAATGGCATGGTCACTGTTTTTGGGATGGGTTCTCCCATGGCCCTCACAGGGTCTTCGCTTCTACCAGGCTGCAGCAAGTCAGTCCGGATAGATGCGGGAAACGGGCTCCCTCTAGACAGAGCAGGCAATGTATATGAAGGAAGTAGGAAGCGACTGCATGTATTCAAAATCCTGTATTCATAATTATGCATTCATAATCCTGGGCAGTAGGACAGCTATGTGACTGGTATGTCTTTTCCCTGCTCCATGTCAAGAGCGAAGATATATCCTCAGCCACTCGCTCCCGTAAGATGGGGAGGCAGAGCGGGCAGTGGCCCAGTTGCGTGAACCAATCGCAGTAGAACGGGACGAAGAAAAGCCGAAGCTGT